TAACCAAAAAGGCAAATGACAGGTATACTGAAAACTACAAAAACCTGCTAAAAGAAATTAAAGATACCAGTGGAAAGGCATCCCATGTATATGGACTGGAAGATAATACTTTTAGGATATCAAACTACCCAAAGTAATCTACCTATTCAACACAATCCCTACCAATACCACAATTGCATTAAAAGAAAACAGCAGAAAAATTCATCTTAAAATTTTTATGAAATATCCATGTACCCCAAAATAGACAAAAGTCTTGAAAAAGAAGAAAAAAAAAATCAAAGGACTCATAACATCCTTATTTTAAAAATTACTACAAAAGTAGAGTAATCAAGGTCAGGCTCATGCCTGTAACCCCAGCACTTTGGGAAGTTGAGGTGGGAGGATCACTTGAGGCTAAGAGTTCAGGATCAGCCTGGGCAACATAGTGAGATTTTGTCTCTACAAAATAATAATAATAAAAAGAGTTGGATGTGGTTGCATATGCTGGTAGTTCAACTACTTGGGAGGCTGAGGCAGGAGGACTGCTTGAGCCCAGGATGTTCAGGTTGCAGTAAGCCAAGATCTTGCAACTGCATTCCAGGTTGGGTGACAGGGTAAGACCCAATTTCCAAAAAAAAAAAAGCTACAATCAGAAGAGTGTGATACTAAAAACAGACATCTTAATGAGTGAAAAAAAATTACAGACAACGGAGGAAAAAAACCAAAAAGACCTTTGCATATATGGCCAATTTACTGCTCTTGTCTTATTTTTGACAAGAGCATTAAAGCCATTCAATGAGGAAAGGATTTGTCAACACATGGTAGTAGGAGAAGCGAATATTTACATTCAAAATAATTAACTCTTACCTTACACCATATGCAAAAATTAACTCAGAAATGGATCAAAGACCTAACTTTAAGAAATAAAACAGGATACTTTTGGAAGAATACACAGAGGGAAACTTTATTGCATTTGATTTTGAGAAGACTTATTGGGTATAACACTAAACGTAAGCCAACAACAACAAAAAAAGAGATATATTGAACTTCTTCAAAATTTTAAAATTTTGTGTATTAAAGACATGATTAATGAAGTCAACAACCCATAGAAGTGGAGAAAGTATTTGCTATCATATATTTAATAAAATATTAATATTCAGAATATATATATAGAAATCCTACAACTGAAAAACCAAAACAAATCCAATTAAGATATTAGCAAAGGACATGGATAGACATTTTTTAAGGAAATGAATATCACTAATGGAAAGGGAAATGCAAATTGAAACCGCAATGAGGTATCACATAACATCTATTAGGATTATTGTTATCAAAATAACAAAAAATAACAAGAGTTAATGAGAATGTGGCTTTACTGAAACTCTTATACATTTCTGGTGGGAATCTAAAAATGGTGCCTCCACTCTAGAAAATAGTATTAAATTTGGAATTTCCATATTATCCAACAATGTCACTTTGGAGCATATACTCAAAATAATTCAAAACAGAGACGCACATAGATATTTGTATATCCATAGGTGCAGCATCACCAAAACGTTGGTGAAAGGCTAAACCAAATATAGTATATACTTACAATATATTATTTTCAACCTTAAAAATGTGGAAATTATGTGACATGCTACAACACGGATGAACCTTGAGGATATAATGCTAAATGAAATAATTTAGGCAAAAAAAAAAAAAAACACAAGTATTGTATGATTCCACTTTTATCAGGTACCTAGAACAGTCAAATTTCTAGAAATTAAATGGTAGTTGCCAGTGCCTAGAGGAGAAAGGAATGATGTGTTATGTTTAATGTGTATGAAGTTTCACCTTGTAAAGATAACAATAGTTCTGGGGGATGGACGGTGATGATGGCTCTAAAACAATGTGAATGCTCTTAATGCCACTGCACTGTGCACTTAAAAATAGTTAAAAGGTAAGTTTTGGTAATATTTCATTCAAATATATAAATATATTTACATATATATATTTCTGCAATTAAAAAAAAACACATCTTTTAGAATGACACGTTGTTGGGAATGAGACACCCTTACTTATTTGGAGATCACTGTGAAAGCTCCATCCGTCCTTATGCGTTTCCAGTATTGAATGTATCCTGATGAATTCAGTCCAAGCCACTGGAATATAGGTTTAAAAGTATAAGAACACACACCATCATACATTGCAAATAAATAACTTTGCGATACCTATTATGCAATAGCTGCTGTATTTGGTAGTAATAATAAATGGAAAAAGAAGATGAAGTTTTAACACTAAATTACAAATGTAAATAATACAATAAAATTTGGTGAGTGCTAAATGGATTGTATGCTCAGGTGTAGTGGAAATCTTGACTTTTTATCCTGAGATATGCTGACTACAGCTGATAAATACATTGTATTTTTTTAATGATTTGTCAAAGTGCTAAAATATATTTTGTATTTTTAAGATAAACATTATAAAGTTGCGAGTTTCCCTATCTATAAAACATTTTGTGGTTGATGATACATATATACGCCATTAAATTGTTATAAAAACAACAAATGAAAATAATGAATATGACAGAGTATCAGTTAAGAAGGGAAGCAATCAAAGTATTTATCAAAAGGTATTCCTGCATTTGTACTTCTAACAATTATTGCTATGACAACTCAATTACCTCTCAGAGATAACACTGAAACATCATACTGTTGAAAATCAACATCTTTGCTTTTATTTATCACATTTTAACATAAAAATAACATTTGAGATTTCTTTGTTCGACTTTCTAAAAGATAATATTAGAAATATTGTCTATAGGTAAACAGTCTTCAAGAACAATGTTTATGGAAAAAAATAATCCCCAAATCTCACCATCCTATACAGGCAGTTCTTATCCCCATGTGTGTATGTTTGGCTGGGTAAGGGTGAAGGGCAGAAAGAGGCTAGAGGGAGTAATTACAAAGTATATATTAAAATATAAAAAATGAGATGTGGCTTCTAGAAATTTGAAAGCAGGTAAAAGAAAATCACTGTAGTCTTTAAAATAAACTTTACATTTCAAACATGAAACCTTCAAGAGTAGAATCTAAAATAACAACACTGAATCATAATACGGCAAATATTTTTTTAAAACAAATTTTAGACCATTTATAATGGTGGTTCACTCAACTTCTCATAGGTTCTTCAGACTGTAGGAAACTGACAAACAGGTAAGTGATATAAAAAGAAAAATGGGGTAGCACAAATACTAACATAAATGTGCATAATTAAATGACTCATAGCAGGAAAAATGCAGCAGCTGACCAAACAGGTTTCCCAAATAAAGTGCAAGAACAAAATATTCCAAACTCAGAAGTGACAATTAGAAGTTTTATTGATTTACATACAGGTTGAAGCTGAGCATATTATAAACCTACCACACAAAATATTTATTTGGTCAGGGATCAGTAGAGGAAGAATTAATTAGTCATGGTAAGACTAATGTTAAGAGAGCTGATAAACACTGGATAGCTTTCAAAATTATTCCAACTGTTCAGTCTTCCTAAAAATGTTAAAATATTTTGACTAACCATATATTTTAAACTATAAATAGGTCAGCAATAAATTTTTCAAATCAGATATGTCTTAGAGTTTAAGTACAGAATATTTGAGATTGAAGTAATGAGTAAGGCACTATATGGTAACACATTTTTGGATTTTTGGTGTGGAAAATGGAGAATTTAATGCAACTAGCCTCCCTGCCATTGACAAAAATCTCTCTTGAAGTGGAAATTCCTTGTGTGTGCCTACAATTTTTTTTTATAATGAAGATAAAGATCTTTCAAAGAATAGCTTTTTCTAGTTCAACAACTGTTTAATTATTATTAACGATAGTTAAAGAGATTTTCCTGAAATATTGGCTTAGGGAAATCAGAAGTGTTCACAAGGTTTAAGCTCTCTGATATCACAACCTCAATATTTCAGTGACTTCATATAATCACATAAGATTGTTTTTTTGTTTCCCTTGCCTCACTCAGATTAGTCCAACACAGTTATTCTTACTTATGCCATTTTCTTCCAAGTGACAAGGACCCAGGCTCTCTCCATTTTGTGACTTTACATTCCTGATGCTCCTCAGTGTCCTCTCCATTTAGTCAGTAGACAGAAAAAGAATGGAAGATTGGTTGTGGGAGGATTTCATGAGCTGGAGTTGAAAGTGGTGTATATCATTTTTTCCCCACACTCTCTTAGCTCTAATCCAGTCATATGGCTTCATCTAATCCCAAAGGAGCTCTGTATTTGGTGAATAGCCAGAAAATTGGGCAATTTATCTTTATAGATAAGAATTTCTATTTTCCGAGTTTATTTACTGCGGGAACAAAACAAGATTTTATACTCACTTTATCTAACCCCATCTGCTTTTCAGGCATGTGTGTGTGTACGTGTGAGCATGTATGAGTTTAACAAAAATATTACTTTGCCAAAACACTCTAAGGCAAAGTTTTGTTTTCACACTTCCATTACTATGTTTTCAGCATCATCTTTCTGTGTGACGGTGCACAGCTTTTTTGGCTTTGCTTAGGGCAGAACACAATGTTCCCATCACTTAATCACACCCCCCTCTTCCTAATATAACAGTATTTTAAACTCCTTTCTGGATGTCCAATCCTTTTAAGAATGTACATGTCTGTTGTTGCATAGTTTTAAGTATTATATAGTGAGTTGATAATATGCTAAAGTCTTCATGAGAAATAGTATAGGGTTTCTCACAAAATGGTCCCTAAATCCGCTACATCAGAATCACCTGAGGTATTTCTTAACTTTTGAAAATCTGAACCAGGAATTGAGAGTTCAATCTCCCAGAGATGACTGAAACCTGCATTTAAAGGACCACTTCCAAGGGGTTCTATTGCATATCAAGTTTTAAGAACTGAAAGCTTAGTGGTACCATCTTCCAACATAACACATTTTGATTACAGTGACTTTCATATAATTTCATATAATCACATAACAAATCTTATGTAGACTTCAACTGGGATGGAATAAAACAAGTACACTGTTCTCCTCACAAAACTTTAATATTATTCAACTAAGATAAACAACCAAAAGACAAACATCTGTTGAATTCAAAGACAGCACGAAATGTGAATGCTTCTAATATAAAACTGAAAAGTGAACCAGGCTGTCATTTAGATGCTTTACAAATAAACAGGAAACTCAGGTAAAAAATAGCAAACTGCTGATAGCAATCAGAATTGTAACAAAGTTAGATGAGCTTCCTGTAGCTTCCAGATGTCTTTATAATTGAAATAAATGACTCCTTAAAAAATAAAGCAAAATAAATTATGAAGAGAAGGATGCCTGACTAAACAGTTTAGAATATATGTAAATGCATATATATATATTTTAATATATTTGACACTTCAAAATACCTAGCTAGATAAACCAAACCAGGTCATCAAACAGCTTTATAACCTACATTTACAAGATAAAAATTAAATAACATTTTTAACAGGAAGTATTACTTTATTGAAAAGTACTTGAATAAATATGTTTTCCTTAAATAACACCTTTCTCATTGGAGACTAAGTTTTCTAGAGATACAAAAAATGCAATGAAAAGACCCAAATTATTTCATTATTTAAATATAAAATAAAAGGTATGCCACAAGGGGCATGGAAACTCATGGTTTCAGTTTGTCTCCTATACAAAATATATATAGTATGTAATGATAATTGTTAGAATTACCTAAATATTTATTCTTTTTTTTCACTATTCCTGTCTTTCATGTTACCACCACACCACCACCACCACCACACAGCAAGAGTTAGATTTAGCTAGTTAATTAGTTCCTGAAAATTCTTGAGATAGGTGTAGACACAGGAGTGAAGCGGGTAAAAGAGAAAACCTCTTCTTTTAATACCAGCAAAACTTTTTATAAATTAAATACAATTTTTACTATCACTTCCCCAAAAGAATTAGAACACCCTGCTGCTAGTGCCAAAGGTGACATAGGCACCTAATGTACAGCACTTCTCTTTAAATTCCAGGAATCTCTGAATACTGTTGAATATAATTGTTAAAATTAAAGTTATTATGGTAGCCATAGAGTATTGCTGAAAAACTATGATTTTGCTAATTGATGTGAAATAGATTACTATTCTTTAATACAAACATTTTGTATTATTCTCTGTTAATACAAACATTTAATACAAATTCATCATGGATGAGTTTTTTTTTCCCTATTTTTAATTGTTAGTGTCTGAAGCCTTGATACAGAGGCTGTTACTCAGGTACAAGTGATTTCACATTGCTGAAAATGCTTTCCAATGTTCTCAGGAAGTCACAAGTCTTTAGTGACTAATATACCTAAAAACACTGAACTGTGGGATGGGTGATTCATCACTTTCCAGTAGGTGTGTTCTTATTTTGAATGCTAACTGTGACCATCCAGGAATACTAGTGTCATTTAACTACTTTGGTGGTTAGAATCCGCAACTATACATAATTACGATAACTGTATTTTTAAGTAGTGACTTATTTTTAAGTAGAGGCATTTAGGCATTTAGAAATAGAAGCTCCATTCTGGTGCCACTGCAAATGCTGGTTTAGTGTATCTAATTGCCTAAATGGATTTCAGCTCTTTAGCTGCTGTCATTATAGCAAGTCCCAAAAATAAGAAATGGTTACTCAGGGAAATGTGCTTACTTCGGGAAATGGAAGCATTTGTACTGCTTTCTAAATGTGCATTCTGCCCAGAATTCATCAATGTGCTCATTGACGGTGTGTCTTCCTTGATAGCTCTACTTCAATATACTAAATTGCTCTTGGAGGTTATTTGAAAAAGTAGGAGAGAAAACTTCAACAGGTTTCCATGGCTTCAGGGTGAAAACTTTGAATCCCTATAGCCATCAGAGTAAAGATAAAAAGCCCTTGTGAACTCACTATTCCCATTTCCCCCATTCCTCTGGCCACTTGCATTCCTGATTCTATCAGTCTCTTACTTCCTTTCTTTCACTTATGTTTCCTCTGCCTAGTATTACAGATTATTCTTGGTGCTGCCAAAATATTCCGTTTCTTAGTCTTTGAAATAATAAACATTGTTTTAAGAGAATTATTTTTTATAAATATTTTCTTTCCCATCTCCAAATTTAAACTCAGAAAAGGTAAAACTATTAATTTTCTTTTTAAAAGCTTGTTGGAACTTATGTTCAGCCATAGCTGACATTTAATAAATGTTTGATGAAATCTGCCTCTGGATAATTTCATCTATTTGAAGCTAAGTTAAAAAGGCAGTTCTTTGGAAAATATTCCCTAATACTATACAATGAACATTTACTAAGTAACTATATTTAATGTTGAAGGTACTGGTATATGTTCATTTGTGGATGCAAAGACGTTATGTCCACGTACACAGGAATTAGGAGAGCAACTGGTTAATGGCAGGGTCTGAATCTGAAAAAAATCCTAATATCCTTCAAGTAGTCACTTACTTCTTCCATCTTATTTCCATTCTCCCTATGTTATGTATGTATGTAGGTAGGTATAAACACCTACCACATACATACACGTGTTCTATATTTTTATGATTGAATTTCTCTACTGAATTTATCATTTCTCTCCTTTTCCTCTTATTTCTCTGTTGAAAACAAATACTGAAACAAAGTTTTGCTTTGCAATTATTAACAGAAGAATTTTCAAGCTAGAAACCCATGTATCTTCCCCCACAGTCTATTATCTTTATAAAGTAACAGAATGAAACAACCAGAGATAATGCTATACTTCTGCAAATAAATTATTTCAAATGACTTTTATCTAACCCTCATGCATATGGAGACTGTGGACAGGCTTCTGTTTTTTCTCAAATGCTCATATAAAAAATAAATTATTGTTCGATGATTAGTTATACGATAAAGATGAACATTTAATATCACTGCTTTTTAACTAGACTAATAAAATTGACATTTACTGTTTAACTGGATTAGACCCAGTTTTACAATACAATTTCATATACTGGATAACCTGGAGAACCTAAAGAATGGTTTAAACAAATCGTTTTTCCAGAAAACAAATTATTATTTCACTTTATGTTATTTTTTATAGTACATATGAACAGAACAAATTATTTATGCACTAAATTATATTTTTTATTATTTATTTTAAACATTTTAGTGATAACCTTATGCCTCTAACAGTCCTTCACCTTCTGAAAGCATGATCCTGAATTTCCTCTTCCGGTATAAACCACAAAACACGATTTTAGGTATATAATAATCTACCCACTTAAACAATCAACTTCTACATTTGGGCATAATTACTTTATAATGCATGATGAAATGAATTACACACATCCTGGGTAGTGTGCTTCTTAAAGTCCATCTAACAATTTAAAATTTAGTAATGCATATGAATATGGCATCCAAAAATCTGGTCTTTGTATATTTCAGAGCTCTATGAATATTAAGGTTTTTTGCTTTTTCACAATTTCATTAACAGTTATAAATTTAAGGACATAATGAACCTATGAGTTGTAAAAGGGTCTCAAAACAATCTCGGATATTCAGGGTTTCAAGAGCAAATTGTATCAGTCGGGCATGTTTCTTAATTAACGAATTACAAACTCAAATAGGAAGTTTCTCAGAGCCCAAAGTTCTAACTGTAAGGCAGGAATGAGGTGTATTAATCTCAGAAAGGCTCCACAATGGGAGAATATTAACAATGCCTGAAAATAGTTACGGCATTTTCAAAGTTAGCAGAAACTTCTCAGATGTTATCACTAACATAGTTTGTAGATATTTTATTACCCTTTGGAAAAACAAGTTCATAAAAATACTATGTCAATAAAATATATACACCTAATATTGTATTAGTATGTACTGGTAGCACAGGGAAGTAAACCACTTATTTTTAGAGATTTTCAAAACCCTCACTCATCACTACTGCTGCAAAAAGTACAAGTTTAGCACTACAGGAAATAATGACCAGCAGAAAATGTCCATTTTGTTATGGCAGGGGAGAATATTAGAAAGGAAACTTTAGTTTAATAAATTTCAAAACTGTACAGACAGAATGAGCAGTACTAGCTTTGGTGACACTATCTGGGATACTAAGAATATTTACCTGATAGGAATAAGTCACATAAATATAGAAGACCTTAATAAAGAATTGTAGGATGGTACTCTGAACAAGTTTCCTCTCACGATGTTTTTTAGAAACTGATCCTAGCAACTGGTTGGATAGAAATGGTCAGAAATACTGAATGCAATGTGTTAAATTATTTTTAATGTTTAGAACCCTGTCAGAAAAAAATGATATTTCAGAAAAGGTAGAAGTAATAGAAGTATAATATATAAGTAAAATGCTTTTTTCGATATTACCTCTGTGAAATGTCATACAAACTTCCAAGTCACACTTAAAAATCTGGAATACCTTACATATGCATTGTGTTCCTTTTTCATTTTTGTCAACCATTTACATTTTCACCAATGTTGGCAGATCTCCCCTCTAACAGGGTTTTCCTTGAACTTACGGATTTAGTGATGAACAAAAATAATAAAATATCTTCCCTATAAGAACATACAAAATGACTACACATATAAAATACTATGTTACTAATATATTTTAAGTAACAATATTCACAAGTGTCATACCATTTGACACAAATGGAATAAAAAAAATAACAGTATATTGTTACTAATATATTTTAAGTAACATATTCACAGATGTTGTACAATTTGAAGCAAATGGAATAAAAGAAATAACAGTAAAATTTACTGTAAGCAGTAAAATTTGGTGCATTAAAAATAACAAAGAAAATTATCTTAAATCCATAGAGGAACTAAACACTATTCCAAGTACGTGTGAGAGGCAAAAGCAGCAAAAGAAACCTCCTTGATTTAAAATAAAATCAATCTAAAATTACAATCTATTTAGAAGTAATGAATGGCCTTTGTATTAAAAAATATGAGATAGTCTCAGAGTGGTGGTCAAATAAAAATGTAAATATGTAAATGTATTTGTTGGAATATGTGAAAGAATACATACATATTATCAAATATTGATTTTCAAAAACCATACAAATATTAAAAAATAAAGAAGGGAATAATAAAGACAAAACAATTTAAAAGAAGGTATGAAAAGCAACATTAAAGAAAACAATGCCGACATTTGTGCTTTTCAAAGACATACAAAGTAGAAAAAAAGCCTCTGGGAAATACTAATAAGAAAGAGAGAAAATAAACAACAGAAATGAAAAATGGGATAGCACACAGATATAAAAAAATTAGGCAGCTCAGAGTGAAACTACATGAATTACATTAAACAGGGAGTATGAGAGATAGGTCAATAAAATTACATATTATGAACCTTTCCAAAAAAATGATAAAGTGTCCATACATTACGTTTAAGGTTAAAAAAAAAAAAAAAAAAAAAAAAAAAAGCTCATATATATACCTAGTACATAGTCAAAAGACTTAAAAATGTAAAGAGCTTAAAATATAAGCCAGAAGAAAATATCCAAAAAAAAGTAGTAAACTGAGATCTAATACAACTTATTGAAATAAAAATCAAAGATTCAAAAATCAAAGATTCAATAAATTGATAAAAAACAATAGCTTGGCTATATAAAGTTAAACTAGGCTTGGGAAAAGCATCTTGAATGCAATCTAAAGAAAAAGATCAACTGTAAATACAACAGAAAGTTTACATGACATGAAGAAAAATGTAAGAAAATTTAATTGATGTCTAATTGGTGTCTTAGAAGAAGCTAATACAAAAGAGATAAGAGTGCTTTTTAAACAGATAAAGCTGAAAATACTCCAGAATTTCTGAAAAAGTGGCAGTTTAAGATACAGAAAGCCCAACTAATTGCAAGCAGAATGAATGAATAAATAAGTAAACCAGAATCCCAAACTATTCACAATATAGTAAAATGATAGAGCACTAAGTATAGAAGGTTTTATAAGCACCCCAAGGGTAAAAAAAGTTCATAGGAAGGTCTTTTAAACTGACAGCTGACTTCTCATCAACAAGGACCAAAACCAGATGACCAAAAATCAATGAGTTAATCTTCAATGTATTAAGTCAAATTGCCTACCAAGCATTCTCTACATAATAAAACATTTCTCAAGAATGAGGACGAAATAAAAATATTTTCATAGTAAGAAAAAGCATTATACAGTCTACAAAC